AAAAAAAAAAAGGACTGTCAATCGCTAAAATGCAAGTGTGGCGTTTAGTGTCATTTTCTTTCAAGAAATGTCCTATATAGAGGAGTCGAGTATTAAAATAACATATATTAAATTAGTTGAACTTTGTGGTAGAGCATCAGCGTGTGCAAAACATGGTTGCATCATTAATTTGAAAAATGCATAGTATTCACTATATAAAATATATACAAAATAGACTGTCACTATACAATTTATATACAATAGACTGTCACTATACAAAATATATACTTTGTCACTACACAAAAATATACAAAATAGACTATCACTATATAATTTATATATAATAAACTATTACTATACAAAATATATACAACATAGACTGTCACTATACAAAAATATATTAAATATACTGTCATTATACAAAATACACTGTCACTATACAAAAAATATACTAAATAGACTATCACTATACAATTTATATACAATAGACTATCACTACATAAAAAATATACAAAATAGACTGTCACTGTATAATTTATATATAATAGACTGTCACTATACAAAATATATATTAAATAGACTGTCACTATACAAAAACGTATACAAAATAGACTGTCACTATATAAAATATACAAAATAGACTGTCACTGTATAATTTATATATAATAGACTGTCACTATACAAAATATATATTAAATAGACTGTCACTATACAAAAACGTATACAAAATAGACTGTCACTATATAAAATATACAAAATAGACTGTCATTGTACAAAAAATATACAAAATAGATATTTTGACTATTAGATGTAATATGTTTGGGCCGGAGGAACATTTCGGGTCAATGGGGAAAAATGAGCTATTAAAATTTTAAGGGGCTATAGAGGATAGTTTTCTCAATATTCTTCAGTCATTTTAGATCATTAAAGCACACTAATATATTTTAAAGATCATGGCAAATTTTAAGGTCGCAGCTTTTGATGTGTGGGTTAGGCAAGTCACACATTTGAACCCTGCCACAGACAAAAATCTAATATTTAAGTGAAGAGGGATATAGAGACGGACCTATCATCCCCGAGTTCCGAACTATGCGCCATTTTCCTCCGGAGATTTCTCGGTTATTAAAAAAAAAAAGGACCGGAGCCCCTTAAAGATAGCCTTCTTTGCATGGTCTGCTACTTGGAATGCCATTCTCAATTTGAGAAATAAGGGATGTATAAGTTGTATGTGCAAGAAGGGGAGCAAGGGCATTGGTCACTTGCTCCACATTTCTAAGTTAGCGTCAAGAATATGGATTTCGTTTATTGCTTGTTTAACGCTCTGTGGTACCTCCGGAATAACATCTCTTGGGTACTTTCCGAACGGGTTCGGGAGACTATCAAGACTTGGAGGTACAAGCGAAATCCATACCGATCTTCAAGAATCTTGGATCTTATAGCCTCCAGAAGATAAGTACAGACGTCTGCATACCGATCCTCAAGACTCTACCAAGCTTGCTCATGACTCATAAGACCTATGCAGCCTAGTTAGGGCTCTGATATCAACTTATCACGACCAAAAATTCCAACCATGGGGTCGTGATGGCGCCTAACATCCGCTTGCTAGGCAAGCCAATATTAGCACAACAACTAAAGCAATTTAACAACTAAGATAAATTAATAATAATAAAAGGGTGAAATAGCATAAAGTATTATAGAAATACAAGCATCGATGTCTAAGACTGTCCCCAGAATCCGGTGCCACAAGTACATGAGCCACTAATAATACTAAATACAAGTCTGAAATGGAAAATACAATATTGTCTAGTATAATACACAATAGATAAAAATAGGAAGGAGATTCTAGGGTCTGCAATCGTCAATCAGCACTACCTCAAGTCTCCTAGAAGAAGAGGGTATGAGCAATTACCTCTGAACGCCGCTGGGACCAACACCAGAATCTGCACAAGAAGTGTAGAAGTGTAGTATGAGTACAACCAAATCCATGTACTCAGTAAGTATCGAGCCTAACTTTGACGAGGTAGTGACGAGACTATGACAAGACACTGACTGTAAACATGTACGTGTTATAAGAAGAAAAGCAATAATAAGATAGAGAAACGAATAACTACATAATAAGCGGGATAAGAAAATAAATGACAGAGGGCCCCAGAATATCATCACATCACAATCTTATAACACAATACGGTAGCGGAATATAACAACCAAGAATAATCACAATTCATCTTTTCTATTGCGGCACGCAATCCGATCCACATATCCATACCAATATTGTTGCAGCGTGCAATCCAAATATATATAATACTGTTGCGGCATGCAACCCGGTCCAATATATATAATCATATTATTGAAGCGTGCAACTCGATCCAATATATATAATCATATGTTGCGGCGTGCAACCCGATCCAATGTATATATAATAATACTATTGCGGCGCGCAACCCAATCCGATATATCATTAATAACCAAATACGGAGAATCTCACAACATAGCATAAAAGGAAACTAAGACGCATCATTCTCTAAGGCAATCCTAGATAACATAGTAGAGTGAAACAGGAAACAAGTAAAGGCAATAAAGCTAGTAAACGCATAAATTAGTAGAAGCATCTATCTAATAACATGTGAGAGCATGTAACAAGTAGAGGCGGACAATAAATAAAGACATGAATAAGTGAAAGTATGTAACAAGTGAAGACATGTATTTAACAAGTAAAGACATGTATCAAGTAAACAATACATCGCAAGTAAAAACATGCAATAAATGATCATTACTAAAACTGTATTTCTCTTCAAAGTGCATTTACTGCTTCTTTCTATTTATTATTTTTTTTCCTTGTAGATTCTTGAAGTTTAAGGATTTCTACATGATATTCTCTCATGTTTTCTTGATACTAAGATTAGGAGAGGAGTTAGTTTTTTATTTCAATGCAATTTACTTATAGATAGATATGACCTTTACTGCAAGAAATGAACGGCAATGTTATTATCTGATAATGTTTCTTATAGATGTACATCGGTCGTGTATACTTTAAAAGATATTATTTGTGCAAATGTATACATTCTGGTTTTCTATAGTTGTTATACGTTATTGATAAGTGTGCTCCTTTTGCTCTCTACACTTTTTAAAAATTATTTCGTATAAAAAGTAATTTTTAGTTATAAAATTGTAAAATGTTTGTACTAATTAGCATGGTATACGTGTGTTACACGTATTCAAAAACCAGTATCTCAAAATAATATATATTCACATTTGGAGCAGCCGATAATTAAGTGTAGTTTTGGTTTCAGCTAAATGAATTACTATATTTTTTTCTTCTGGTTAATTAGTCAAAGGAATACTGGTTTTGCTCTAAATGAACCGTCTGATTTCGTTTATATGTACAGTAGTTTGAATCAAGTTAGTCAATTCATTGACTTTGCAGGAACTTGCTAATTACAAAAGAAAGAATATTTAAATGAGGAACTTGCTAATTACAAAAGAAAACTCAAAAGAACAACTCTGGACTTAAACGGTTCTACTTGCATAAACTAAGAATTAGCAACTGTTTTGCATAAACTATTTATATGAATTATGGAAGCGATAAAAACAAAAATACACCTGGAGACCCTAAAAAGTAGAGGAAAAAGTCGAGAAACATGACAGACTCAGTTGCTAGCAGTTCAATCATACTATCTAAAACTAACTCACATCCGTGAATTATCCAAACATAATCTGGCGGGAAAAAAAATCAAGCATATTGATGTTTCTGCTAATAAAGAAGCCAAATCTCAACATTTTTGTTAACAAGCAAGATGATTGTTCGATTGCCAAACAGTAACAACAACCAATGTCTATTGTTTCACTCTGACTCAGAATGTGTATCCAAGTAAGATATGGCAACAGCAGCATGGAGGGCTGCTCCTATTGGAAGAACTTCTTCATCAATGGTGAAGTATGGGGAGTGCAAACCTTTAATAGCAGACACGTCTGTTTTATTTTGTGTCCCAATGAAGAAAAATGCAGTTGCCATCTTCTGGGAATAGAACCCAAAGTCCTCTGCAGCCATTAAAGCCGGGGAATGCTGCACGTTATTCTCGCCAAGCAAGATTTCTCCAACTCTTTTACCATGATCATAGATAGTAGGATCATTTATAGTTGGAAGATATGGCCTCATTTCCTCCATGAAATCAATGGTGGCAGAGCATTGATGTACTCCTGCCTGAGTCTCAATGATCTGTGAGTAGCAAGTATTTCTAGTGTTACTCATCAACAATAACATTTAATACATACCCAACAACATATTACTAGAAAGCTGGACTATAGGTAATGTGGAAGAATTTATTCTGAAAAGCGTAAAGCACAAGTTGTAGATTTATCTGTTGACCCTTCTATTGACTGATATTTCAGGTGAAGTTAGCAAGGCTACAGTTTATATAGAAGCTCAAAAGGTCGGAAAGTTCTCTAGAAGTTGGGGAGGGACTTGGTCCCCTCGCAAAACCCTGATGCATACCTCTTTGATCCTCTGCTTAAGATAGGAATATCCTTCTAATGTCATGAACCGGAAGGTTCCACCAAACCTTACACTTGCAGGGATTACATTTCCAGCTTGACCACCATCTACAAATGTAACAGAGACAACCTGCATATAATTACAAATCAACAGGGATCTTTAGACCATTCTGCTCGGAATTTAGGATTCTAAACAAAAAGCAGATTATATCGTAACTAAATGGAAACAGAGCGATAAATACCCTAGGCTCTAGAGGATCAGTTTCTCGAGAAATAAGTTGTTGGAGTGCAAGAACTGCCATAGAAGCAGCCAACATTGGATCCTTAGTTTTATGTGGTGTTGCTGCATGGCCGCCTTTCCCTTGCACTACTGCAGTAAACCTGCTTGATCCAGCCATAATAGGACCAGGTCTCGAACCAATAGTGCCTACGGGCATAAATGGCCAGACATGCAAGCCAAATATTCCTTTAAACCCATCTAATGCGCCTTCTTCTAACATATAGGAGGCACCAGCATATCCTTCTTCTGCAGGTTGGAAGACAAGCTTAACTGTGCCCTTCAGTTCAGAGTGAAGTATTACCCAAATAAGTTTATTAGAATTTAGAAAAACATGGTTAGGTCATCAATAATAATTATTCTCCTACCTTCAACTTGTCCCTTCTGTTCTGAATCAATCTAGCTGCTCCAAGCAGCATGGTGACATGAGCATCATGGCCACAGGCATGCATTTTGCCATCAATCTTGCTTTTGTACTCCCAATCTACCAACTCCTTCAAAGTTACACTTTGAATCAGTTAGCCTAGTCATTGTAGAGGAATTCTATCTTCATTTGAGGAAGTACGATTGACCAAAGATGAAATTCTTTCCTCTAGTAAAAACATTTAACAAAGCACAGATTGAGCAAGGATGATAATAAGATCAATATTCTGGTCATTCTTTTTGCTGCCTCCCAAGGGGGTCGCAGAACAGAATGGTGTGACCTGAGAAATACCCTTGTTTCAAGTAATGCTCACCAAATAGTTAATTCAGAAACATATTTTCAACTCTCAAATTTGCAATTGTTCTCAACCTTTCATTTGAATCTAATTCTGCTTACCACCTAGTGAAAGCAATGAATGATTTGCTTGTAACCAAACATGTTACACCAAAATTTCCCATTATCGTCACACATAAGTATGATATAATTGACATATAGTGTATTTGTGGTGGAATCCTCAAATAGAAGATAAGGCGAGCATCACATCAATTTCCTAAAGTTCAACCATGACAAAGACAGAAGATCCACAATGTCAACTTCTTAGCAGCTCAACACTGAGGAATTGGCTTGCAAAGGAGGGAGGTGAGAACAACAAAAAATTTGATGATATGGTAAAGGAGCCAAAAAGATGAACGAATGGTAATTTCAAGCCGCCGAAGTTATACACTGTCAGATGCATGCTTGATGTAACTGATACAGTAGTTTGGTGGTTGCATCCACATCACGAAGAATATGTTTCACATTCACCCTTTCTTTTTCATAAGGAAGACTAGGTTTAACTTTTAGTGGCTTATATTGGAGATGCTAGGGTGGACTCGATCTGTTCAAGCATGTAACGAATAATGTTAATTAACTGTTTAACGTTAGAATTTGAAAGTGATTTCCCCTTCTTCAATCACTACGTATAGTTTACAGGTTCATTTATAGCATTACTTGTTCTATAATGCTCAGCTGGGTGCATATGATTTACCCTTCAAGCTTGGGCAGTGTCAAGAAAACTCGTCACTCTTAAAGTCTTTCCTTGAGTGACAAAATAACCAAGTAACATTAACCTAATTAGCTGACTTTAAAGGCTAAGTTGACCAATTCTGTGAGAGATGTTTTACCTAAAGTATCCTTACCAAAAAATATTTCACCTAAGTTATTTAGAGTTTCAAAAAGAAAAGCTCTATTGCACACAAGAAAGATACTATCAAATAATTAAGCTTATGTTTTGGAGAAACTCAGTACAGTATATAAGTAACTGATGGCAAGAAAAAAACAAATAAAAAACACAGATGCACACAAGGGCAAAAGTAAAATAATAATAATAATCATACTAAAAAACTTAACCCGATATGAGTTTCATTCACAAAATGCAACCATAAATCAGTTGACAGAAAGTTTTTGAGGCAATTACAATCCCTCCCCCCTCCCCCCTNATAAATGCATAATATGGCCAAATCAAAAGATGAAAAGAATAACTACTAAATAAGATCAATCCTTTCAACGTTATTGGGTTTCTTTCACAAAACATAACTATGACAAATCAGTTTTACGATGATAATTGCCACCATTCAACCTCAAGAATAAGCCTGTTCCCTAGGCTCTAGCTAATGAAGGCAATTAAAAAGAATATTCCCTTTGAGCAAAAAAATGAAATATTTCTATATTTATAAATAATTTAAATTTAAACTTCTCGTTAATAAAATAATTTATAGCCATATAGTTTTAAAAAAATCATTTTCGTATTAAACTCAAAAACAAATAAATTAGGTTGGAGGGAGTAACAAGAATAAATTTTGGAAAAGGGCCGCAGAGAAACTGAAGTTAAAAATAGAAGAAGCAAGAAAGAGACCTGAAGGGGGAGAGCATCCATGTCAGCTCTCAGACCAAACCAAGGTTGAGCACCTGACCCTATGGTTCCCACCACACCGGTTTTAGCCACAGGCCACATGAACTTGACGCCAAGCGAGTCCAGCTCATTTCGGACGAGTTGACTGGTTTGGTGCTCTTGAAATGACAATTCTGGGTACTCATGGATTCTCCTTCTCACCCTTCTCAACCAATCCAAGAACTCCGGTTGCCTCGCCGATTCCAGAAGCTCCCGAGTTAGTGACCCCGTTTCAGATCCCAAATCAGTTTCTGTATCTGCAGCCCATGAATTGTACGGAAAGCTCGTCGATAGTAATGTCAATATGAGTATCAAGTCTACGCAAAACGAACCCATCCCTGGAAACCACCAAAGATCTTAAGGTCCTTAGGCTTCGTCACTCCCAAAGGACTAAAAATAATTCGACTTTGATTTTATTTTTCACCACTATTAGTAACACAAATATCAAATTATGATTTGGGTTATTTGGATTATATGTAATTTATTTTAAAATTTAAATCCTCCGGATAAAAATTATATATAATTATTAGATATCAATTAAGAAACAGGACATGAAACTGTTTCTCATATCTCGTACTGGATAACATATTTTCTTTTTATATCTGTAACATCCTTGATCCTAGTGCTTGTATTTATTTCGTGATCTATATTAAAGAGTACTAAACATATCACGTTATAATTTATCTTGTTTGAGCATATTATTTCAACAAAATTCTTACTACCACTTTATGTTTTACTTCAAAGTCGAATAAGTTTTATCCTTCTACCTTTTCACCATAAAAACATAAATCTCTCTTTAATCTTTGCTTATAGTTATTGCATTATTCATTACCTAACATTGTTAAATTGTCATGTGATCTTTTATTAGCTTACTAATTGACTTAATATCTTGCTTATTACCCTTTTGATAATCATATATAAATATAAATTTTTTATTCCTAAAAATTAATATTTTTTTTTTACTTTTATCCTCTTACTTAGAACTCTTTCGTCATTTAAATCTATCATCGAATATTTTTGAGTATTATTTAATTATTTAATATACTTATCCTTAAATTAATTCAAATTATAAATATTCTCACACTCCCTTTATTTTCCTCTTTATATATTTTTACCCCTATTATGAAAATTTAATTAGTTTTTTATATTAGTATTTTACCAGTAATCAAAATATGTAATATCACATTTTATTTTAAGTCATAACTTTGAATTAGTCTAAAATATTGAATACATAAGTTTTTTTAATTAGCAAATTTTAAATCTATTGTATTTTCTTAGAATTAGTTTATATCACGTGCAATTAAAATTTCTTTCTCTTTTAGTTTCAAGTTTAACTTTTATTTTCGTTACTAAATTATCTACATGAGACATTTATTTTGTGTTCTTAATATTTTAATTTGTTATCCTATTATTATTTTTCTTTATCTAATAAAACATTAATTTTGCAGTCCTATCTATAGTTTGAGCATTTTTACTATAATTTTAATCTAATCTCAAGTTCAAATTATCTTTCCCTTCTATTTATAATTTTAAATGTTTTTAAATTTTTAATTATTGCTATTACACTACCTAATATATAGTATTTCATGTTTTCATGTGGCCTTCATTATATTTTATATTTTATTCTACTATTCTCAATAATATTTTCTGAATAAATAAGCTTTTTATTTTTAAAAAGAAAAACAAAAATTATTAAAAAAAAGAAATTTTAAATTGGCAGTTTTTTATTTTTATTTTTTAATTTTAGTTTTTTATTTTAAAATAATTTAAAAAATTTAACTTGAAACTACTCTCCAATTTGAATGGACAGTGTTTTTTTAATTTTTGTTTTTTATTATAAAATATTTTATTTTATTATTTTATAGATATTTAAATTAAAAAATAATAACCAATAACTAATTATTAATTAAATAACTAATTATTAACTACTTATGCCATATGGTATTTTTTAAATTGGCAGTTTTTTTTAATTGTTTTTAATTTTATTTTTTATTTTAAAATAATTTAAAAACTCCAACTTGAAACTACTCTCTGTTTTTTATTTTAAAATAATTTTAAAACTCCAACTTGAAACTACTCTCCCATTTGAATGGACAGTTTATTTTTTAATTTTCATTTTTTATTATTTTATAGATATTTAAATTAAAAAGTAATAATCAATAACTAATTATTAACTACTTATGACATGTGACTTTTTTCTAGGCTGCTACTTGGCTTAAGGAGAGAGCTTTCTCCTCTCCTTTTAATAATATATAGATGGTAGTGGTTGGTTTGTTTTCTTTAATTGTAACTAGTGTTAGCCCGGATAATTTGACAAAATATTAATCTTATAAAATTATGATCTAATATATCATATTATTTTAATAAATATTAGTTATATTTTGTTATTTAATATAGTATGCAGAAATATAACAAAATCTATACAAACTCAAAGGATACACATCATATAGTAACAAATAAATTATTTGCTCCTTATTTATTCTTATTGTCAAATTAGCAAGTAGTTAATACTATACATTTACTAATGTGACTTTTTATTAACTTGTCAATGGACTTAATATTTTGATACTACTTCTCTTTTAATATAACATAGATATATATTTTCTTACTCTTGAAATAAAATTATTTTTTAAACTTATGTTATATTGTTCAAAATTCTTCAATTATCTAAATTTATTGATAATTTTATTGAGTGTTATTTATTTATCTTTTATTTTTTTAATCAATTTAAAATATAAATATCTTAAAATTATCTGTATCCCCCTCTTTTCATACATTCTTTCTACTGTAATATTTGATTAGTTTATTATTTTGTAGTTTACTACAAATTTAAATAATGTAATATTTTTTACTAAATTATAATTTTGAATTCATCAAAAGTATAAAGAGATAAGCATTTTATTATTTTTATAAAAAAACCCTACCAATATTTAAAAAATTATTAATTTGTGTTATATCTATAATATGCTTATCTTATATTATAATATCATAATACTATTTTATATTTTTTATTATAAAATTATGAGTTCTATTTATTAACTAAATTTCCTAAATGAGAAATTTAATTAGTATATATATTTTACGCTATCGCTTGAATATTTGTTTTTAGTATTCTTCCTTTATAACTATTTGTTTATTATGATTTTAGTTATGTGTATATGTACAACTTTTCTTATCATAATTCTAATTATAAGTTTTATATTTTTATATTTTCCCACAAATTTATATTGTTTTTTGTTCCTTGTTTATCTAATTGCATTATCAAAATTTAATATTTTTAAATTGTCATATGAATTATTAATAAATTACCAGTTTAATATATACAATGAATATAATTTTGTATTACTCTTGAAATTGAACTTGACTTTATCCTGTATGACTTTCTCTTAGTTATTTTGATATTTAAATTTATAAATAATATTTTTGAGTATTATTTATTTATTTAATTTTATCAGATAAATTTAATGTGAGGATAGAATCACATTATATCTATTATCCTTTTTATACATTAAACTTTGTTCTACAATATTTTGATTTTTTTCGTTATGTTTATCTGTAATACGAATATTATTGTATTAGTTTCTAAATGGATGGTGTTGAATTAGTTCAAAGGTTAAACAAAGAAGTTCTTTTAATATATGTCATAAATCTTAGACTTTTATTCTATTGCTCCTAATTATTTTATTATTTGAAATTATCAATAATATTTTTGAGTATTATTTTGATAGTTTATTATATTTTTTAAGTTAATTTACAATATAATTAGCCTCACACTATCTCTATTTTCCTCTCTTTATATATTATTGTGCATTTTATGATATTGTAGTTTGCTTCTTCTTTTTTTCAGATCGTATTTCACTATAACTCAAAGAGTGATATATTTTATTCTAAATTATAAGGACTAATACTTCAAGTATCTATATGATTAGTAGATCTAATTCAGTTGCTCCTTCAATTTTCTCTCAAGTTCTAACTTTTTTCTATCCCATTCACACAACCCTCTTCTCTGATTTTCTATCCATTTCTTTGCTACTTCAATGCACCAATTATTTGAACCTTTAATTCCCTTTTCTTTCTTAACCGTATATAATTGTTTTACTTCTCTCTCTCTCTCTCT